ATTTCCTCGTAAGTAGAGCGCGCGTGCCAGGTGCTTCATTAGCATAGGTACTTAGCATAAGTAACCGCCCACTAATGCCCATATAAGGGACTGCAGGGCCGTGTGCAGACGGCAGAGGAAACAGCAACAGGCCTTTACACGGAGCAAAAGTCACCCTTTTTTCTTCTTTTACCAGACTGAGAATAAAGTTATAAAATGTTGACTTAAAAGTCGAAATATTATGATAATAAAGTCGAACTAGCAAAATTATGAGATTAATCTAAGAATATGATGAGATTAATCTCAAAATGTTATGAGCTTAATTTAAAAATATATTATGTATTATTTTAAAGATGAATCTCAAAATGTTTTGAGATTAATCTCAAAATATTTTGGACCCTGGGAGGAGATCCAGCGCGGACCAGCGCTGAGACCAATGCAGACCCGAGGAGAGACTGGAGTGACCAGCACACAGAAACCAGCGCGGACCTATAGAGAGACCGCATAGACTGGAGTGACCTGACTGGAGAGACCGGTGCGCAGAGACCAGCGCGGACCGAAGAGAGACCGCATAGACCAGACTTGAGAGACCAGCGTGGATCCGTATGGAGAGACCAGTGCAGACCAGTATAGATCCATGGGAGAGACTAGTGCAGACCCGTATATGGGAGAGACCAGTGCAGACCCGTATAGATCCATAGGAGAGACCAGTGCAGACCCGTATATGGGAGACACCAGCGCAGACCCGTATAGATCCATAGGAGAGACCAGTGCAGACCCGTATAGATCCATAGGAGAGACCAGCGCAGAGACTCAGCGCGGACCCAGTAACCTCCTGCAGCAGCAGTATATATGCCGTTGTTCTGTGGCCCGTGGATAAAGAAATGCCCCCTATAAATAGGAAGGGGTCACTAATACACGGCAAGATTTCCAATGTATTTGATAAAGCGTTGGCACATTTCATTTCAAAATGAATTAAAAAGTAGGCCAGATCTGCAGTGAAAAAGGCGGTATATAAATAAAGATTACTAATAAAGATTACTACAAATAAATAAATACATACATCGATATGACGGACATATCACTGGAATGTTGTATTTTTATTCAACTTCACCAAAGAGGACAACCCCCGCATGTGAACATGTCGGCACTGAATGCGTACGAGTGCTCCTGAGGACTCGTAGGATTTGTACTTGCCCAAGAGAAATTCTGGTTACGAGAAATATTCGTGAATGCCACTTTCTTCGTAAAAACCGCGTAAGTAGGATTTACGTACAAATCTGTTCCTAAGAACCGTTCGTGAATGAGGCCCATTGTTCCTAATGCAAGCAAGAGTTTCCCCTGCAATTAAGGTATCTGATTGGTCACTCACATCAGGGATCATAAAAGCAATTATTAAGACAACAGTCTCATGTGTATAGAAGAGTTGGACAAAAATCCCTATTTACATTTTATCGTCAAAACTGTGCCTCTACAGTATACATTTCAGACTTCAGAGTTCCTAAAATGGATGGAGGTTCTTATAGGCTATTTTAGTTTTTAAGAATGTCAAAAGAAAAGTGCCAACATATACAAAAAGGAAAAGACCTGGAATGAGATAAATCTAAATGCAAATGGAAGTGGCAATGTCTGTGGGAGGATCACTGCTGAGTGCACAGAAAGAGCACAGGGGCTTTCAGGATATTTACTGCTTTTGTTTCCTTCAGTCTATAAAGCAATCAGTATGCAAAACTCCATGTGACCTTCAGATAATCAACCTGACCTCGACTCACATATGTAAGGCTTTTTAAAGACAGAGCTTGGGGAGATGCTGTCCCTTATGCTGTGTATACTATTTCTTTTAAAAATAGTTGATATTTTAAAGTGGTATTAAGAGCAGATATAGTTGGTGTCTGCAGTAGCTAACTTGTATTCAGACATAGTCAGATCATTTTTGAGTTGACCTCAGGTCAGTGATACTCCACACTCAGAATGAGAGCGAGCTGGAGACGCCAGAGGAAGTCTATGAGAGCTGTCAATCACTGCGCTACTAATGACTCTGCTTCAGGTGAAGACAGGAACTCATGTGACATGTCTCACATCTCACCTTTAACTAGGCCTGAGAGCATCACCCGCTGGTCTCTGTGGAAATAGACCAGTTACAAACTACAGCACACCTCCATCCAGATTTGTGGGGTTTTTTTTCCAAATGCTTCATAAATGGCACCTACGCTAATTGGCTGACTGACTGTAACGACCAGAAAGGGTATGAGAAACACCAGCTCCACTGATACCAGGTGAAGAAGCAGTGATACAGATGAGATGTGAGAATCTTGTTCCACAGGGACATTTCAGTGTTGCCATAGTGACAAAAATAAAAGTCTGATTGATTGCTCTGTGAAGGCTCTTCTTTAGCCCTGTTCAGACTTAAAGTGGTTTTAGCTTCATTTGTTGTGAGTCCCTGAAAAAACAAAGGCTCATTTCCTCCAGCGCCACAGATTTGGAATCTGAAATGTATTCTGAAAGTCAAATTAACTCACACCAATCAAAACCTAATTTGCTGTATGAATGCTAAAACAAATAATTGTTTCACACATTTTTCTCTGAATGGATACAAATGTTTCTTGGCACGAAGAGACATCAGCTCTCTGGAAAACATTTGCAGAATGAATGTAGATACTTTTATCTGTTTGAGTATTGTGAACAAGAACATAATCTTTTATGCTGCTTGGTTATTACATTCAGAGGGAGAATAGGGAGAAAAAAATATTCTCCCCATTTTTTAAAGAAGTTACACTACTAAGAACCATTGTTGTTTGGTTTCTCTTGTGCATGCCTGAATGAAATGTGCTGTACAAATAAACATTGTTTGATTGAACCATTTGATAAATTGCACGACCATATCATGTGTATATGAGCAATCAGTTTCAATTCATCAATTTATTTAATACATTTTTTACAATTCAAAAACAGCTTCAAGCACTTGGGCAAAGAAAGGTCAAATAAGGTCTTAAAAAGGAATAGGCATGAGAAGCTAACACTTACAGACACCAACCCTTTAGCATACACACATACTTAAATAGTTGCTACACACAAATCAAAAACATGCATTTACTCCATAATTATGATTATATCCTGCTCAGCTTTCACAATCAATATGTTTGAACAATATACTTCTTCAGCAGAGTCTTGAAGTGTAAAGTTCTGCGGACTTTTACGACTTGCGATAGCTAATATACATATGGTAACTGTGCTTTTGTGAGTTCCGTCGTTCTGCAAGGCAACAGACCTCCACAAAGGAACAGCACAGTTCCAGACCTCTATCCAACACGACTGCAGTGATGTATATAATCAGAGTAAAACAGAGACTATGAAAGTTTAAGATACTGTATCTCCCAGGCTGTGATAAAGCTACACTGACCATTCTTGAATCTTTTCCAACTTTGTGGCAGTTAACACTATCACCACATCAGCAACCATTAATCTTATTAGAATACGTTGCGCAACACATCAAAGTGGTGACAATAATCAAAAGCATATGCATGATGCTGGCCAGAAGACAGAATTTACGGTTTGTGAATCAAATCACTGATAATGATCTGGGAAAATAATTGGACATTTTCTTTTTCAACATTCCTTTCAAAAATTGCCTCTGTCCTCCCACTGAAATGGAATTCGAGAACATGAACTAAACTATTGATGTTAATGTGTATCATCAGCTGCTGGAGACACATGCATTACCATAACCTCGTCACAAGTAAGGAAGGAAGTAAGTAAAGTTCATCTGTAGTGCGCCTTGGTATACGTCGCTGTTTGGTATACGTTGTTCTAGGGCAGGGGTCTCCAACCTGTAGCTCGGGAGCCACCAGTAGCTCGCCACCCCCTTCCAGGTAGCTCGCCAACGGATTTAGAAATGAAAAAATCAAATAATACACTTAATATTTCAGATTGTATCATTATTTATCATTATTCATCACTGTAAATGCACTTACTTTGTCACTAGTAACGAATATGCAATGATAAATAATGACTATACCCGATATCAGGCTCGTTCACACCAATATATCACACATGTTTTCCCAGGGCTGCTTAAAGGAGTAGCTCTCTTACTGGGAAAGTAGCTCTCTGGGTGAAAAAGGTTGGAGCCACCTGTTCTAGGGACACCAGGTTAATCAAAAGTTAATCAAAAGACACCAGGTTAATCAAAAGTTACTTCAAGGAGACCAGGGGCGACAGTAGCTCAGTTGGTAGAGCATTGGCCTTAAGGCCAGAAGGTCGTGGGTTCAATTCCCACCTCTACACCTTCTCCACAGACTCCCACTGATGGCTGCTGTCGTTGTGTCCTTGGGCAAGACACTTAACCCCACTTTGCCCAAAGCCCCCACTGAAAGATCAAGGCTATGCTCACAGTCAGAGAGCAGCCGTCCTCCTGTGGACTCACCACCTGCAGAGGGTCAGTGAGGGGCTGGTGCTATGAGACTTGGGTGGCATCTCTGACTGCCACCCCCCTGACCCAGAAATGGATTAAAGGGTAGAAAATGGATGGATGGACTTCAAGGTTCCTCAGACTTCATTTTTACAAAGCTGCTTAAGTCGCCACGGTGCTGGACAGGAGGCACGACGCTGTCTCAGGCAGGGGTTTGTGCTGGAGTTCAGCTGGAGGCTACTATCACTTTGCCATATCTTTATTTTGGCCAGACAGTTTGTGAGAGAAGCCAGTGTCTGGGATTTGGAGAACTTAAAAGAGCTGTGCCGTTGGAGAACGTCTGCATTCAAGTGATAAGAGACATCACTGAACTGAATGGAAATTTGACTTCCGTGTTGTAAATGATGACATCACCAAATGAACGTCCAATGTACAAAGAACATACACACTTAAATACTACGTATGCAATTTTTTTATTTTACATTTCTTTTCTCAGACATACATTCGATTCATTGCAAGGGATTTGAGGGATTTGATTTGATTTATTCAATTTAGTTGTATTTCTTCACATAAAAAAATCTTGTGTTTTCTTTGCTGTGACAGAAATAAGTCCAATTTAAACATTATGAATACCCAAAGTAAGTTCCTCTGGGCTTTGTTCTGGTATGAGTTCCTTTGGGCTCTCTTCTGGCCTGAGTTCCTCTGGGCTTTGTTCTGGTATGAGTTCCTTTGGGCTCTCTTCTGGCCTGAGTTCCTCTGGGCTTTGTTCTGGTATGAGTTCCTTTGGGCTCTCTTCTGGCCTGAGTTCCTCTGGGCTTTGTTCTGGTATGAGTTCCTCTGGGCTCTCTTCTGGTAAGAGTTCCTCTGGGCTCTCTTCTGGTATGAGTTCCTCTGGGCTCTCTTCTGGTAAGAGTTCCTCTGGGCTCTCTTCTGGTATGAGTTCCTCTGGGCTCTCTTCTGGTAAGAGTTCCTCTGGGCTCTCTTCTGGTAAGAGTTCCTCTGGGCTCTCTTCTGGTAAGAGTTCCTCTGGGCTCTCTTCTGGTAAGAGTTCCTCTGGGCTCTGTTCTGGTATGAGTTCCCCTTGGTTCTCTTCTTTAGTTGGGAGCCGGCGTAGAGCCTTTATAGTCACTCAGTATTTTCGCTGCTGGAACAGTTGGCTTTGGTGCGGCTGCAGTGGTGGGTTGTGCTTTTTCATTTGCTCTTTAAAGTCCATCATCTCCAGCATTCTTTCTGCTGCCATGGCCTTGTGTGATTGTTATTATTATCATGTTTTTTTCCTCTTTATTTATTGTGTTGCTAACCATTGTCATGCATTCTTTTCACTCTAACTGACACATATACAATACAATACTTTGTACACACTGCTTTGATTGTGGACAGACAAAATCAAACACTTTGTCCACATTTTAGTCGAAGTAGTAATCTTTGGGTTTATTGTGTATTTTATTTATTTGGTGTGTTGTCATTGTGTTTTTAATCTGCATTTTAACTGTTTTGGATGGAGGATATACAGTAGAGTGAATAAAGTAAAGTGAGCAAGTCATTGTTTTACCCGACTTGAGCTTCTGCGTGTCATTGTTTGTTTGTCCATTTGTTTTATACCGACGGGATACAAAAAATAAAAATAAATAGCAACACAAAAAAACTGTAATAAATCATTGCCTTTCTACCTTTTTGTACGCACATTGAATATTTTAGCATCAAAATAATCCATTGGATATTGTTCTTTGCGGTGAAGATTACAACACTGTGAAATTAGCCCAACTTTTATCACAACCAAATTGGTGTCAAACAAGGCCCCTGTACTCATCTGAAATTATCATGATTAACTTGCAGCATTGGTGGATACCTTCCATCACGCTGGCATGTTACACCTCATATTAAAGCTAATTATCTCACAAAAACCTATCATTTAAAGTATTCTAACATTTGAGGCCAATATGTAATTAGACACTGCAACCGAATATACAGTAACTATTCTATTTCGACATAACATTCAAACTTATGTTACAGAAAAAAATCCTTTTGTCAAATTACCTCCGAAATGTACAGATAGATAAAGTAAGTAAGTAAGAAATCTTTATATTTGTATACCGCCTTTCACAGACCAGAGTTACAAAGCGATTGTGGGAATTTGTCCTGTCACTCCACACAGAGATGGGGGCGGGGCTAAAGTCATACCAATAGAAATATATCAAAAATGTACCAGAATTGACTATGTGGTTATATATTTTCAGAATGTATGTATAACTTTATAACTTTAGATACAGTTTGATGGTTTGGTCTATTCAAATTCAAAAATATGTATTTGATTATTTTAGGTATTTTGATCTACTGTATGTGAAAATATAACCATGCCAATGTTTTAATGTAATTATCTAGCGCATATAATGAGATTTGTCACTCAATATTACTGTGAAGGGCCATTTACTGTATAAAGACTGAGATAGGACTCCTACACGGAAACCACTTCAGAAATTGAAATAAAAGCCTGAGTGTGGGGAAAGCTTTAGAAATATGAAATGTTGTCTTGAGACCGACTCCTGGATTGTCTTTATGGTTTTAATTTCTCTCTTCCTTTCGCTCTGAACTCTCTCTGTAGACTTTCCTTTGACCCGAAGAAGCTTCAAATCAACTCGGAGCAGAGGGAGATATCAAAAGTGCAATTATTATGTCTCACAATAGTCAAGGCCGCTGAGACTTAAGACCGAGACCGTGTGGAGCCAACTCAAAGGTCTGAGTCTGGAGCATTAGACTCAGATGAGGGCGAGGAGAGAGATTTATGCAGTGCACTCAGAGATTAAACCATTTGTAAGTTAGAATCAAGGCCACATGTCCACATTTTGTTCTGGTGTGTAATAACAACGGATGTCAGAGCTGTCTCCCTGAAAATGTGAGAGAGGTGTCTACTCTGGCCATGTTACATCCAGGTTAAAGACGATTCTGTTTGCCTGGGCATAAAACTGAACAGTCAGAGCTGCACCCAGTACACAGAGCACCAGCCCCTCACTGATCCTCCTGCAGGTGGTGAGTCCACAGGAGCTGGTACATTCAACAGTATGATGCAAATATGACAATCCTGAAACTGCTGAAAAACATTTAATACACTTTTAATATAATTTAAAATCCCCCCAAAAGTAATAAAAAAGATCATTTAATAACGCGTGTGAATTAGTTACACAGTAGTAATTGTATTGTGTTATTGATTTGAAAGGGAGTGAGATATGAATGACCAGCAGGTGGCGGTAGACACAAAGCAGCCGTGTGACTGCTGGAGTGGGGTTCACTGCGAGTGAAGGTTGCAGCTTTATTATTCACAGCACGTCAGCTGACATCAGATGACGCTAAAAAACAACAAACAACATAGACGTTTGTGATTATACACCTGTTGAAAATGATTATGGCATATAAGCTTGTCACACTCTGATGTATTCTGCAAAAAGCACGTCTTTATATTTGGTTGAAATGGCTAGGAACAATCACTTTGAAACGCAGCCTCATAAAGAATGTTGACAGTGTCCTGAGTGCCAACGTGAGCGCAGAATACATAATGCATATTCACTTGTTACATATGAAGTCACTAGAGCAGCCGTCACTGGGCTCTCCGACCTCCTCTCCTCAGAGCTTCTTTCACTGAACAAATATAGCACAGGCATACTCATTTTAACTGCATAAAAATCTTTTATTTGTGCCTTATATGGTTATACGAATTAAAGCATAACCCATTGTTGATGTATAAGTGTAAGAATGTAAAGAAGCTGGAATACGTAAACTATTTTTTTTCTTTAGAAATACATTGTGTTTGTTCCAACAGAAAGAGTCTTGTACAAGTAACATTTTAAAAAGCAGTCAGAAAGCATGAGGCTTAATCTCATTAAAAACATGTTATCTTGTACAAACTGAAAGCTGATCGGCTCATTGAGGACTGTACTCTCTTTTTCACTGAGAATTAAAAAGATAAAGATTTGACATAGACTAAAAATACATGTGAAAGAAGCAATCTGTTTTGAGAGCTACAGAAAATAGTTGCACAGATTTGATATTTGAATGTCCTGGTTTTAAAGTTTGATACTAACATTTTATTAAATCAAAACATAATAATTTACTTCCATGTTCACTTCCTGAATCATAAAGAGCACCACCAGGAAGAGGCTGATCATGAGTGTCCAGGGGCAGGTCACTGAGGCTGCTCTGAGGCCCCTCCCTGGACATGATGAGTCTGAATGTCTCCACATGAGGAAGAATGGCTGTGTTTATCGAGTGGGCAGTTAAACCAACACTATCTTTCTTTCCGCTTTGAGCAGTTAGCTCTGATTCATGCCTCGTGATAATGCACAAGTGACAAGTTTACGCCACCAGAGCCACAACATCCCAATTATGCTGACAGCTTCGTTTAACAATTAACCGACATGACTCAAAGGGCTAATGAACATACCCATATCTCTCATTATGGCAGTGTGTGTGTATGAGAGAGAGAGAGAGAGGGAGGGAGAGAGCAAAGGAGGAGAGAGATGGGATGGGGGACACACAGAGAGAGAGAGAGAGAGAGAGAGAGAGATGGGGGACACAGAGAGACAGGGAGGAGATAGATGGGGACAGAGAGAGAGATGGGGGACACAGAGAGAGGGAGAGCGAGCGCAAAGGAGGAGAGAGATGGGATGGGACACACAGAGAGAGTGAGAGTGAAAGAGAGAGATGGGGCATGGAGAGAGATAGAGAGTAAAGGGCGAGAGAGATGGGATGGGGGACACAGAGAGAGAGAGAGAGATAGATGGGGACAGAGAGAGAGAGGGACAGAGAGAGAGAGGGAGAGAGATGGGGACAGAGAGAGAGATGAGGACAGAGAGAGAGAGGGAGAGAGAGAGGGACAGAGAGAGAGGTGAGGACAGAGAGAGAGAGGGAGAGAGAGAGGGACAGAGAGAGAGATGAGGACAGAGAGAGAGAGGGAGAGAGAGAGGGACAGAGAGAGAGATGAGGACAGAGAGAGAGAGGGAGAGAGATGGGGACAGAGAGAGAGGTGAGGACAGAGAGAGAGAGGGAGAGAGAGAGGGACAGAGAGAGAGATGAGGACAGAGAGAGAGAGGGAGAGAGATGGGGACAGAGAGAGAGATGAGGACAGAGAGAGAGAGGGAGAGAGATGGGGACAGAGAGAGAGGTGAGGACAGAGAGAGAGAGGGAGAGAGAGAGGGACAGAGAGAGAGGTGAGGACAGAGAGAGAGAGGGAGAGAGAGAGGGACAGAGAGAGAGATGAGGACAGAGAGAGAGAGGGAGAGAGAGAGGGAGGAGAGAGATGGGGGACACAGAGAGAGAGAAAATGTGTGTGTAATTGGCTTTCATGTATTCATTTTCTCCTGTCTTTATAATGAAAAACAATGCAGAAATAGTCTCACCTCCACACACACACACACACACACACACACACACACACACACACACACACACACACACACACACACACACGCACGCATAGTTTTTCTCTCTCTAGGCCTCAGATATGATCACAGACCTCAGAGCAGCGGCAGCAGCTCAACTCCTGTGGGTGAAATAAGCCACACAAGATAAATAAGCCAAGACCGGGACACTATCTGTCTTTTCCCATGGAGTCTCTACGCTTGGCCACATCTCAGCAAACAAAAGTTGGGACTGGACAGCATAATCTAATCATGTATTGGACAGGGACACGGCCACGCTGCCTCTTTCCTGCGCCGCACCTGTCATACAATGAAAGTTCTGCTCTCAGATTTCCTCCAGGCGAACGTCGTGGTTCGTCAGCAGCACGCAGCTCCTCGGACACCGTTTTTTTTTTTTTTTTTTCTGCCGTGGTCTGATAGGAGAGCCTATTAGGGAGTGGGAGACGACATCGCTCACTCCAGGAATAATGGAAGAACTTGTCTCAGTGCAGATTGTGATTGTGTCATAACTTTTTGCCTCACTTTTGGAGGATTCTTTACCCCAGTGAGCCATTATGTAAATTATTAATAGGATAGTCTGGACTTTTTGGTCTCCACTTTCAGCACATTCTGCACCATAACAGACTTGGATTTTGTTTTGGGACTACATAGAACGTATTTTGCGGGAAAACAAATTGGTTTCTGATGTTGTCTTGTGCTTTTTTGTGTTTTTTGTGTTTGTTTTTTTATCAGCATTTTATTCAATTATACAAAAAAAGACAGTCAAGGATATAAAAACTTAATAAAATAAACAATAAGCGACAAAGAAACAGAAGGAGCAGAAAAGACTGAACATGCGACGGGAAACTAAAGTGTGTGTGTGTGTGTGTGTGTGTGTGTGTGTGTGTGTGTGTGCATGCTCTTAAGGTGGGTGTTATGTCTGTGTGAGTGTGTGATCACAAGTATCTGGTGAGGAATGAGCAAAAGGGGCAGATGACATGAAGGACAACAATGGAGGTGGCTGCCATGACTAAAATGAAGCCAGGGAAGAGTTGCAGAGAGGATTATTAGACCCTGGACCTTTGGAATGAGGATATTTTGAGTTTGAGGTGCATTAAAAACGGGGTGAGGTGTATTAAAGACAGTATATGAGGATGTATTATGCTTTAACTTGTTATATATACATACACACATACATAATTATCCACTTACACACACTTACATACACACCCAAATACCTACTGTACTTACACACATACATGTACTTTTAAAACAGTGCTGTATTAAGACACTTGTTTATGCCTTGGCTTCACTTTTCATCGCTCACTATTTTCATTGTACATGTTTATAATGCTGTTTGTATATTTGTCGAGCACGTGAAGCACCTGCAGCTGGTGTTGTTTACATGCACCATAGAAATAAAATGACATGGACATCGTTGTCAGGGAAGTATCAAAATCAATATGCATGATTAAAATAAAAATCTGATTATTTGAAATGTATTGGAAAGTGTATGGATTCATATTTTGTTTATTGGAAGACAAATCAAAGCAGAAGACATATATTATTATTTATTATATAAAACAAAATAAAAATGACATAAATTGGTATCATATTACAAAAAATAAATCTAAATTAATCCAAAAATAATTGTACTTATTGTACTAATTGAACTTTCTCACATTTGTTAGAATATGCGCTTTAATATCACTAATATAAAAGTGGTTGATTTGGGCTCAGAACTGTCCGGTTGTTATATGAGAACAAAAACAGTGTCTAATTGTTTAATTTCACAGTGTGAGCGTGTTGGTCACAGCTCAGTGCGGTGGTGTGTGTAAAAGTGTTTAGCATGCTCAGTGTCTTACTGCTGGTATTAAGCAAATGCTGTATGCTTATGGAAGCATGAACGGATTAGAGCGCCTCCAGTAACAGTGAAAAGACAAGATGTCGTCAAAGTCTGAAGCACTGATGAAGCTGATCTGTGTCTGCCGTCCACAGTCGTTCACTTGGTACGTTTGTAAACACATGCTGTTCTCAGTGCACGGTCCTATATCTACTAATCACAACTATTGATTTATTTGGTGTATACTTTTCAATATGTGTTCTTTGCAGCATCTGGCTCCGCCAATTGATTGGATCAACTCAAGAAAAATAACAGAAATCCCAGCATCGAGCTAAGAAAATTGCTCAAAAGCGCTGGAAAGAGCGCTAGAAATCCCTGGGTTTTTATTGCTCAAAATTACCATCCAAAGAGTTGAAGTACAGTACAGTAGGTGGTGGGTATGGTTAGTTTATAACGCTGAGTTTATTAACACATACTTACAAACCTGTATACTTTCTTTTCTCTTTTCTCAGCTAAATGTCTACCGTAATTATCATCAAGTATAAAAGTTTTGTTCCTTTAACCTCTTACTCCACATGTGCCTGTATAGGTACTTTTTATTTATTGTAAATTTGCTGATAAAATTCCAAATATTTCATATTCCATATTTATATGGAAGTCAAACTTCCAGAAATATGAAACATTAAATAAAAATGTGTGGTCACCCTGTTATTTAGAGCCGAATCATCCATTTGATGAGCTTTGACCTGTCAGAACTCAAAACTCCCGACTAAAATATAGTCAATAAATCATAAAAAAATGAAGAGGGATTTTTCATGCTCGTCTGGCGCTGTTTGCTTTATTACAAGATTTTAGAACATTTCTAGAAAAAATTCCCTTGGCTGTCGGTGAGGAAAACCCCACCTGAAAACCTAAAATGTTGTTCTTCTAGTAAGTAAGTAATCTTTATCTATATAGCGCCTTTCACAGACCAGAGTCACAAAGGGCTCTACACAAAGATGGGAGCGGGGTCGCCAAACAGAAGGCATGGGGAGAATATGCAAACTCCGCTCAGAAAGGCCTTGTTCTGACCGGAATTCAAACCCAGAACCTTCTCGCTGAGAAGTGAGAGTGCTGTCCACTCAGCCACTACAGTCAAATAGAATTTTTTTACAGAATTTTGGTGGCACCACATTTGAAATATACAGTATACATGTATTGCATTGATAAATTCAGCATGTATGATTCCCGTTGATATTTCCACAGCTTACTTTACTATTGCAACAGAGGGGGTTGGCACTTGTTTTTCTGTGTATTCCTAATAACCCACTTATTTTGTCTCTCTCAGTTTGTCTTAACAGCAGCCACATCTCACATGTTTTCTGTCTCTGCATGCCATCTCTCAGACAGAGGGCCATTTTAATTACCCCTTATTCCCCAGCCTCACAAGTGTAAATACCTTTTGTTTAATTCAGCCTGAAGTTCCAATTCAGTCATTAGCCCTAATCCTCCCAAACGCCACCTCTGCGAACGTGGCGCCTGCTGCAGGTCTTCCCCGTTACACTATGGATTCTCTGTCGCTGGGCTGTAGGGAGATCGAACTCTAATTAAGATTGTTAATGAAGATTTAATTTTCCACTTGAAATGAGCCACTGAACTTCAAGAGCATCTTGAGTGAGGAGCAGAGAGAGAGAAAGTGGAGCACTGGCCTAAAACTTATGATAGTTGTAAATCACTTGGGAGAAAGAAGTTGTTGTTCAGTTCTGGTTGAATTCCATGTCCACCTTTATGTGGTAGAGACAAGTTTGGATCTAAAGGCAACAAAGTGAATATGCATAAAACAAATAAGTTTACAATGTACTGTTTTTAATCATTGATAAATGTACAAATCAGATCTTACAGGTATGTAATTCAAACATTCAAAGAGTGTTCAATGACATGAAAGCAACAGACAAAGCCTGCAAACAATGAACAGAACAAGAACATAAAAATCCAGGTGT